ATTGGGTGGCCATTCCATAAGTGAGTTTATTTGCAGTTCTACGAAATAATTTTATTATGCGTTATTTACTTACGTATTTGGATACAATATATCAAATATTACATGAATCGATGAGATGAAACTTACATAAAGCAACAATATCATCATATTGAGACTAACCATAGCAAATACAACCATGATATCAATGAGATAACATCAATGACCAAATCACTAAATCTCGCCAGTTTAAGTGAAGATATGCGGCTGATGCTGAGATTAGCATAAAACGGTCGATTGAAATAATGAGAAGTTGATATTATCGATGAGTGATAAACGGATAAGACAAAAAATCTCCATAGAATCTTGTGAGTGCGAATTAAACAATAACTGTTGTCTAATTTTAGTAGAAGCATACAAAGCAGGGGCGCCCTCCCCCCTGCTAATAGAGGCCATTTGCCGGATGATGGAGATCCAGCTCCTCATCCACCACGCCAACATCGAAAATGAGAGGAGCTGGAAGTACGGCGTTACCGGCCCGGTTTTTGAAGTCATCCGGGAGGCGGCGGACCGGTACGCCGTATTTATTGGGTTTCCTTCGACCCAAGTGAGTTCATTTAATGATACTTTTCATGTGGGTTATTCAAGAATATCTCTTCTAATGATGACTTTGATAAAGATAATAGTCACATTCAGAAATATGAATATTTTAAATATTAATATTTCAAATTTTATAATATTAATACTAATAGTGATTTGTAACAGGAATTTTGATGTAATGAATAGTTAAAATAATTGAACAATGTTTTTCAGTATGTCGATTCGGAACTATTTGAGGCGGAAATGGAACGCTGGAAAGTTCCAGTCCCCGACGACGTAAGTGAAATTAGATGAAATTCTGATTGAACATTGAGTGAAATGAAATTGAATGAATGAAATTGAATGTTCTATTAATCACAAACCATACCATTAGCTGAAGTCGTGAGTAATTAGTGCTTTTGGCTACCAACCTGGAATCAAATCATAATCGAGCTAATCATTCCAGATATTGGGTGCGGAGGAACCCAGCCCATCATCCGGCCGTCAGGAGGAACGGCCCACCGAACCCCGACCTCAGCCCGAGGAGCCAATTGACGACTTATTTTTTAACTATGATGACGAGGATACTAACAACTCACCGGATAACGACGCGAATCAAATAACACCTAACGATGACACTAACTCGACCCAGCCAGAAGAGGGGCCTGCGCAGCCCCGTTAT